TTGGGAGGCTGAAAACAGGAGGATCACTATGAGTCTGATCTGTGTAGTGAGACCCTGTAGACCTTGTACTTCAAAAAAAAAAAAAAAGTTTGGATAAATGTGCAAACAGAACCTGAAATAAAGCAATTGTCTCATAATTGGTGAGCTAGAATTGCAGCTCACGTCACCAGAGCAGAAAGCTCATCACTGTTGACCTCGTTGTCATCAACACCAGACCCTTATCCTTCTATTTTCTCCTGTTTTCATTATTGCCAAAGCTCTTCTTGAGTGCCTAGTGTATACCGTGGAACAACTATGTAGTTTATACACGCCACCTCCTTTAATGCTCATGATGAACTCTATCAGGTATGTTCTGTTCTTTTATTTTTTAACAAGTGAAGAAGGTGAGGCTCAGAGAGGATCTACGTCTGTCCTGGTGCCACTTAGCTAAAGAGCAGGGTGAACATGCTTGTCCTTCTCATGGCTGATGGCTAAGTGTCTGCTGCCTTAGCCCCACTGCTATTTGGATGCATAGATGAAAGGTTAGAGCTCCAGTGCCCTTCTGGGCCTTATTTCCATCCCTGCTCTGTTTACATTTTTTTTGTTTTTATATTTGCAGTACTGGTATTGAACCCACAGCTGCATGTATGCTAGGCAAGTGTCCAATAGCTCAGCTATGCCCTAGGCCTTTCTTTTATATTTACGACAGGGTCTATAGGATCTATAGGGTCTCAGTACATAGACTGGAGTCATAGTGATTTTCCTGTTTTCAGCCTTCCAATGTGTGTGCCACTATGCCCAGTCTCAATCGCTGTCTCAGTGCCTCACAGACGGGGCTGGCACAGCATGCCAGGGATTGAACCCTGGCCACTGTGCTCTGCCTAAGAAGGTACTTTAATCCACTGAGCTAGTTGGCCAGCCTTTATTTTTGAATTTTGAGACAAGGTCTTGCTGAGTTGCTAAGGCTGGCCTTGATTGATTTAACTACCTTTACTTGAATGAAGTGCTTGGTATAATGAATTCTTTCTTTAATACATAGTAGAAAATATATAAAAATTACTATTTATTCAGTGTAAAGTTGCCTTTTTCAAATATATGTGCATTTTAAAGGGTAAGAGTAGATGCTAAGGCACTACATTGCTTAGAAAACATTCTTCTGAGGGTTTTAATTTATTTTAGCATTAAGATGTTTTTATGTTGTTCTACTTCCTTGATAGAGCCCACTCTATTGCCTATAAATGCTTTTACTTCAGCCAGTAAGAGTTGCTTTTTTTTTTTTGGAACAGCACAAACATTATTTGCCTAGTAAGCAATGATTAAAGTTCTTACCTAGGATATATGATATAAAAATAGGTCATGAGGTCCCCCAAATCACTGCTCAGTTTTTTAGCCTAATGCAGTACAAAATGGTTTCTTCCACACAAATACAAGCTTTTCACTCATGTTTCTCAAAAACTGTCTCCAGCAGT